GAAGGTCTCTGAGGACTCTTGCTTCTCTTGTAAAAGGACCTTATCAGGGCCAAACAGCTCCATAAGATCAATCAGGACAACAGGCCCTTGGGCATTTTCCAGAGTCAGCTAAGACCACGCTCTTTGCCTGCCCTCTATCAATCAATATCGGCAAAAAACTCAGGCAACTTTCCAAAGGCCCCTCTAGTATTGTCCAAAACCTTGTAGCTGCTGCAATGGGAACAGAAATCCCCAAGTACACTGGGCGTGGATCAGGCCGGCCCAGAGAAGGCCAATGAGTACTTAGTTATTTCAGCCCCTTGGATGAGGCCCAGGCCAGCCCTCTGCCACAGAATTTTATGCAAATGGCGTTATTCCCTGATCACGATGGTGCCTCTGTCTTCCTCCCTTCCCCGCTATCACAATAAATTACGTTGTTGGTTAAAAATTTATTTTTCAGAGTGAAATAATTACACCCAGGACAGGCTTCATGACAAAGCACTCCATCAAAGGGATATATTATTAATACTAACGTTCTCCTGTCACAACTGCCCACTTAATTTGAAATGAATTATCCAATTAAGTGAGGAAGGGAAACTTTCTGCTTTCCAAGAAAATGCTCAGGCAGTGACTTTGCCTTGACCGTTCTTCCTCAGACCTCACTAATTAACGAAAGAGTTGTTTCATGAGGCCTTTGCTTGGTGGAAATGAGTGATGTTTTTGTTGGGAACACGGCAAGAAAGGGCATCTGTCCCACCTTTAACTCCTGATGGGGATAGAAGCAGCAAAACCTCTCAGCTGTAGCTTGTGCTTAACCTGTCACTGCAGAAAAGGAGGACCTGCAGTCCCAGATGTGAGGAAATACATTTCCTGCCTTGCATTAGACAGATGGGAAGGCTAGAGGTGCAGAATGGTGCATACACTGTTAGATAAAGTCACTGGGGTTTTTCTTAACTACGTAATTGTCAGAGGTGAGGGACATATCTGGAAATGACTTTGATGTGAAAAGAATGGAAGTGAGGGGAGGGAAGGAAGGAAGGAGGGAAGAAGGGAATTGGGGAAGAAGGGAAGGAAGGAGAGCAGAAGGAAGGGATGGAGGGAGAGAGGAAAGAAAGAAGGAAGGAAAGGAGGAGAGAGGGAGGGAAAGAGTAAAAGAGGGAAGGAAAGAAGGAGGGAAGGAAGAAGGGAGAAAAAGGAGAAGGGAGGGAAGGAAAGAGGGAGGGAAAGGGGAAGAGAGGGAAGAATAGAAGGAAGGAGGGAGAGAAAGAAGGAAGGAAGGAGGGAGGGAGGGGAAGGAAGGAAATTGGTACTCTCTCTCTGTTCCTCACACACACAGCACTCAATCTCCCAACCCTAAGCCTACGCATAGGCTTTCCTCCATGTTTGGAACACATTCTCTCTTCATCTCTACCTCAAAAAATCCCTCTCTTCATTGAAGAAGCAACTCAAATTCCACCTTCTAAACGGAGCCTTTCCTGACTTCCAACCACCAACCCCTCCCTCTCTCACTACCCTGTATTTACTCGGCCTATCTATTCTTTAGATTCTCATATATGTACATACTGTCTCCCCCGTTACAATGTAAGCTTCTTACCTGTAGAGACTGCTTCATTTTTGCCTTAGTATCCCCAGTGGTGGCACAAAACACATTTTAAAAATGCTTGTGGATAGACTGGTTCCATTTGCATTATTTCATAAAAGCCTTTCCATATTCCTTCTGTATTTTCCATCCTTGACAGCTAGACACTCTGAGAATCACACATACAGTCCCAAGAGTCCCCTCCTCCACACTGATGAACCATAACCACAGAGAAGACAAAACTTCCAGAAAGTACAGAAGAAATGGAGGCACGAGAGGAAGGCACCTGTATGACCTCAACCCAAACAGAAACAGCACTTGATGCCTCAGTTGAAAACCAGGTTATTATTTTCAGATCAGCAAACAGCCTTTTGCAAAGTACCACACCGGCTGGCACCATCCCCATTTCACAGTGGAAGTGCCAATGACAGAATCATAGAATCTCAAAGCTAGAAGAAGGTTCAGAGCCCAGATAGTTACAACTGATCCCTGAACAAGAACTCCTTTTTGCAGTGTGCCGAATAAGTAATCCAGCCTTTGCTTAAAGACCTCCAGTGAGGAAGGACTTGTGACCTCCTGAGGCAGCCCCTTCCACCTCTGGCCAGTCTCCCTGTTAGAAAGTTTTTCTTGACATTAAGTCGAAATCTGCCTTTTTTTTTTTTTTTTTTACAATTTTTACAACATTGTGCCTTAGACAGATGCCAAGCAGAATAGATCCAATGTCAATCCTCACAGTCTTGCAAAGCCCAGGGAATACCGCAAAACAATATCTAAGCAACCAAGATTCCACAAAATTTACAGGTACTGGAATCAACAAGAAGTGTCTTTAGAATATGTCTGTCAGTAAGCATTTATTAAACGTTTACTATGTGTCAGGCACTGTGCTAAGTGCTGAGAATACAAAGGAAGATAAGACAGTGCCTACCCCAAGGAGCTCACAATCTAATGGTCACGTACAAACAAGAAAATAGACAGGATAAACGGCAGATGATCAACAGAGGAAAGTGCTGGCATTAATGGGGTCAAGGTAAAGTTTCTGGTAGGAGGTGGGATTTTCACTGGGACTTGAAGGAAGTCAGGGAGGCCAGGAGGAGGAGATGGGGAGAGGGGTACTCCGAGCATGGAGCCATTAGATGAAGCCCGTTGTGAAGAACCCACGAAAGCCAGCAGGATTGCTGGATTTCAGTGGGTGGCAGCGAACAAGGTGTAAGAAGACTAGAAAATTAGAAAGGGGCCGTGTTATGAAGGGCTTTCAAAGCCAAGCAGTAGATTTTTGAATCCTGAAGGTAATAGGAACCCCCTGGAATTTATTGAATAGAGGGGGGATATGGTCAGATCTGTGCTTTGGGAAGATCACTCTGGTGGCTGAACAGAGGATGAATTGGAGGAGGGACCCACCTGAGGCAGGCAGCCCCAGCAGCTATTGCCATAGACAAGACATGGAGAGTCTGCACTGGGAGAGTAGTAGTGTTAGAAGAGGGACTGGGGCAAAAAGGAGAGCTGTTAGGAAGGCAAAAACGAGATCCCTCTCCTTTGGCCACTGTTAAAGAACTGGTGCATTTCAAGGAGTACCTATGGAGCTTTGAAACCATTTTATTGAGGGACTAATATTAACTGAATGAATGACTTCCCAGCATGGGAAAAGTCTCTTCCTCATGAACTGACTGTGAAAGATGGGATGGATTGGCTGAATTCATGAAATATAAATGGGGAGCTAATATTTAAAACAAATACTTTAATCCTCTTTCAAAATTAGCCCAGACACAGCTGCTTACGATGATTACTGATGTCAGTCTTTGAGCATGAGACTTCAAAAATGCAATTAGGAAGGCACTGAGCATTTAAATAGCTCCCACTATGTGCCATGCACTGTGCTAAATGCTTGACAAATATCACCTCATTTGATCAGTCTCTGTCAGAGAGAAGCACTAGTAATAATTAGCTGGAGGCAGCTAGGTGGCTCAGTGGATAGAGCACCAGGGCTGGAGTCAGAAGGATCAGAGTTCAAATCCAGCCTCAGATACTTCCTAGCTTTGTGACCCTAGGCAAGTCATTTCACCCTGTTTGCCTCAGTTTCCTCATTTGTAAAATGAGCTGGAAAAGGAAATGGCAGAGGACTGCAGTATCTTTGCAAAGAAAACCCCAAATGAGGTAAAGAAGAGTAAGACACGACTGAAACAACTGAACAACAAATAATTAATGGACGTTTATTTATCTGTTGTTTTCAGGTTGGCAAAACTCTAAATACATTATCTCACCTAAGCTCAAAAAACACCTTCCACGCTACTGCCAAAGGTGTTTTCATGGTATGAGGCCACTAGGTGGCACTGTGCATAGAGCACTGGGCCTGCAGTCTGGAAAACCGAGTTCAGATTTCACCTTAGACATTTATTAACTCTGTGATTCTGGGAAAGTCACTTAACATCTGGCTGCCTCACTTTACCCATATGTAAAATGGAGATAACAATAACACATACTTCCTATTGTTGTAGGGAGAATAAAACGTGATAATATTTGTAAAGAACTTTGCAAACTTTAGCATGCTATGTAAATGTGTCATTATCATTATTATTTTTCTAAAGTATAGCTCTATTTCAGTCCACTGCTCAAAAAGCTCCAATGGCTCCCTCTTGCCTCCAGGATCCAATGCAAACCCTTCTGTTTGGCATTTAAAGCCCTGGGTAATCTGGTTCCAGGCTACCATTCCAGGCTTAATATACACGAGTCCCCTTAACTCACTGGCCAACTCAGACACACCATTCCATCTCCATGTCTTTAGCCAGGCTGTGCCCCACATGCGGAATGCATTCCATCCTCATTCCACCTCTCAAAATCCAGTTCCCTTCCAAAATCAGTCCAAGTCTTACTTCCAAGAGGCCCTTCCAGATGGGCCCTGTCAAGGCCTCCCCCTACCCCACAGCGATTTTGTGTGTTTGTGTGTATTTCATCTATTTCGTGTATATTTCTCCAGTGCTTAGCACAATGACTGGCACATAGTAGGCACTTAATGAATACTTATTGGCTGATTTTGTAATAATCATACATATACATGTTGTCTCCTCCTATAGCATACAGGTCCCTAGAGGGCATTTTTGTCTTCATAATAGAGCACCTGGCACGTAGTAAGTGCTTGCTAAATGCTTATTAATTGGTGAATTGATTAGAAACTCCCTCTATCAATACAGACAAGGAAAGCAGCAACTCCTTGGTAATTAATGTATTCCAGAACTGTGGGGAAAACCACTAGTGTGTCAGAGGCAGAACTAGAACCCTTATCTTGCCAACTCCCTTTAATCCTCTTTGACAGGCTACTTCTTGAATAACAAACTCAGTGGTATTTTACTGCCCGAGCTCAGAACGTTTTTGCCTTGTTCAACCCCACGAGAAAGTAGTCATTTCCTCCCTCTGCCCCAGCTGGTCTCGGTGCAAGCCAAGGGCTTACCTTATCGTAGTAGTACCGCAGGGCGCGGCTCAGCTTGTCGTAGTTCATATTTGTCTTGTTCTTGCGCAGTCCCCACAGTTTGGCCACCTCTTCTGCCTTGAGAAGCTTGAATTCACCATCATTGGATGTCCAACAGATTAAGTGCTCATGCTTCTGGTCCAGCAGCAACTGCAACAGGAACTGCCACAGCGTGATTGCACTCTCCATACCTGGAGGGACAGCAAGCAGGCAAAGGTCAAGGGTAGCCAGCTGGCACTTGTAGCCCATTCTCGAGCTCCAATCAAGAGAACTTCAAAAGCAACCATTGCTAGTACCTCCCCTGGGAAGAGTAATGGAGGATTGGGTGCTGAAATTTTTTTTTTAATTGCAAATCTTAAGCATAGGGGGCATAGTAGCTAGAGCACTGGACCTGGAATCAGGAAGACCTGAGTTCAAATCCAGCCTCAGACACTTACTAGCTATGTGACCCTGCTCAAGTCACTTTAACCACTGTATGCCTCAGTTTCCCCATCTGAGAAATCTGGGATAATAAAAGCACCCACACCCAAGGTTGTTGCGAGAATCAAATGACATAACGTATGCAAACTGCAAGGTACTTGTATATACATTAGCTATCATTATTACCATTGTTGTTGTTATTGTCATTATTATTTTTATAGATACATGATAACACATCCCTTATCCTCCTGCTGCCAGTGTTTCCCCCATGGAATTAACTTGTAACACACACACACACACACACACATATACCCACACATATACATATCGATATACACATATCCACATGTATATACATATATTATATGTATACACATATGTACATATGTATATATACACATATGTACATGTTCCCCCTTCCCCACACCACATAGACACATGCCCACCCACCCACCCACTCCTACCATGTGAATTTCTTGAGATCAGGGACTGTTTCATTTTGTTTTTAGATACCCTCTCTCCCCCATCCCAGTGTCTGGTACATAGTGGGTGCTTAATAAATGCTTATTGACTGATTGAGTTAGTCCATTAATCAAAAAATATTTATCAAGCACCCACTATGTGTAAGGCACTGTGCTAGCAGCTGGGGACAAAAGTAACAAAGAATGAATTGATTGATGCTTGTGAAGAGGCAGCTATGTGGTGCAATAGTGAAAGAATTGGACCTGGAGTCAGGAAGACCTGAGTTCAAATCACGTCTTGGAGACTTACTAACTGTGTGACCCTGGGCAAATCACTTAACCTCTGCCTCAGTTTCTTTCTCTGTAAAATGGAGATAATACTAGCACCTACCTCCCAGGTCTGGTGCCAGGTTAAAATGAGACAATATTTATAAAGTGCTTTGCAAACCTTAGCATGTCAGTTAGATATTAACTACTATTATTACAACTTACGGAGTACAGTCTTGCACTGGATTCAACAATTCGGAGTTGGAAGAGACTTTAGGAATGAACTTCAGAGACCCTTCATTGCTTCTACATGTTCAGGAAGCCTTTCCTGACCCTCCATTAATTCTAGCACCTTCCCTCTGTTCGTTCTTTCCAATTTATCCTGTATATGTCTTATCTGTATGGAGTTCCCATGTTGTCTCCTCCATTAGACTGTAAGCTCCTTGAGAGCAGGGACCGTCTTTTACCTTTTTTTTTTGTATCCCCAGTGCTTAGCACAGTGCCTGACACATAGTAGATACTTAATAAATGTGAATTAATTGACTTACTAACCTTTAGGATCAACTATAAACTTCTTTTGGGGGCATTTAAAGCCCTCCATAATTGGGATTTAATGGACTTTTCCAGACTCATATTCCTTATTCCTCTTCATACACTCTTCCAGACAAACTGGCTGACACTGTAGGTAGTTTAATATAACTAGGTAGGTATATATAAGAGTGCTGTCCCCACTTTACAGATGAGAAAACCAAGGCTAAGGCAGTTAAAGGTACTCATCAAAAGTTACAAAATAATCTACAAGCAGATGCGATCAGCAGCAGGGACACACACAAAAAAAAAGACTCCACAAAGAAATGGAGTGAAAAAGGCCCTGGACTTTATTTTTGGGTGACCCTAGTTCAAATTCCACTTTGCTGTGAAGCCGTGACCACAGCAATCTTAATCTGTTTTCTCATCTGTAAAATTCCATTTTACCAACACCTATGATGTGCCTATTATGTGAAAGACATTGAGAGGCAGGATGGGGCAGTGGATAGAGAGGGTCACAGACAGGCAGGCCCAAGTCTCACCTGTGATACTGACATAAGGCAGGTAGTAACCCTCGGGGACAGGGGTTTTTAACCTTTTTTATGTCTTAGACCCTTTTGGCAAACTGGTGAAGCCTACAGCCTCTTTCTCAAAATCATGTTTTTAAGTGTACAAAATACAATACATAGGGTAACAAAGGAAACCGATTACATTGTAATTATCCAAATATTTCTGGAGATGAGTTTTACAGACCCCAGAATTAGGAACCTTTGCTCTAAGACTGTCAACTGCAGGGCGGTTGCCAACATCCACTAGTGTAAGGAATTTATTCACTGGGAGCTTCCTATATCAATCACATTGCATGTAAGCCCTGTAATAATGACGGCACCAACCTCCCTGGGCTGATCTGAGGATCCCACATCTATAGCTGGACGGGACTTATCTAGTGCAACCCTTTCATTTTACAAATGGGGAAACTGAGGGCCCGAGAGGTTAAGTCCCATGTAACTATTAAGTCACAAAGCTGGTAAATGGAAGAGCTGACATCTGAACCTGTGTTCTCTGACTCTAGAGCCCTCTTCACTATGCGGACAAACATCCAAGGAATAATTAGCCGCGTGGTCTTAGTTCTAACCCAGTGTTGCACCATTAGTGTGCCCAGGCTAGATGGAGAAGAACAGAAGGGACAGAGCAGGGAGCAGTGAAGTGTGGGCTAGGACTTAACACAGCTGCCCTGGGAACCCCCACCCTCACAGCTTCCATCCACACTTAGGAACCACAGTCCTAGGATTAAGATCTGAATCTGATGACTCACCATAGGTAACATCCTCTCCACCTGAGATGACTCACTCACTGTCTCTGGCTTCTTCTTTCTAAGGCAGGTTACGGCCCACAAGTTGGCAGTTCATTTTTTCCTTTCCTTGAGATTACACAATCTACTCCTTTACTCAGAACCCAGCGGTAGGGGCCTATCATGATCCTCCAACCACATACATCTTTACTGCTCAAGATCCCTCTGACACATAGGCCATATGAGGCTGACCACATAATTACTGATTCATAGAGTGAGTGAGATATTTGGCCAGGGAAACAGGAGATCCCTGCGTTCCAATGCTGTGTGACCCAAAGTTAATCTTTAATTTCTCTGAATCTCACTTTCTTCATCTGTAAATTAAGGGTAATGTTAATTCTGGTGCCCACTTCTTAAGGCTGCTATGAAAATCAAATGAGATGAGGACAAAGGTTGTTGGGTTGTTTGTTTTTGAGGCAATCAGGGTTAAGGGACTTGCTCAGGCACACACAACTAGTACCTGTCTGAGGTTAGATTTGAACTGAGGTCCTCATCACTCTAAGGCCATGCTCTATCCACTGAGCCACCAAGGTACCCTGGCTCAAAGGTTTTTGAAAGCCTTAAATCTCTGTGGAAATGCCAATTATTCTTACTTCCCTGTGAGGTTACACAATGAGCTATGGGAATCTTAATGACTTCTTCCCACCCCTTTCATCTGACACAGAACAGAAGAACTGAATGGGATAGCCGGACTAAGATGGGAGCAGCAATGTGGTATCATAGAGAGGGACAGGTCTAGACTCCAAGGGCCTGTGTTCTAATCCTCGTGCCCTCCCCAACCTGACTTCTCTGGGACCCATTTTCTTCATCTATAAAATAACAGGCTTAGAATCAATAGCCTCCAAGGTCCTTTCTTCCTCTGATCTTCTTTGCCCCTGCCTTCTCATGGATCATAGATTTAGAGCTGTAAAAGAGTTTTTTGTAAAGAATCTAAAATGTGAAATTTTATTTGTAAAATGTAAAAATTGTTTATAAAAATGTAAAATTCACTTTATAGAAGACTTACAGGCCCAGAATGGTTAAGCAGTTTGCCCAAAGTCACACAGGGAATAAAAGCAGCATTTGAACCCAGGGCCTCTGTTCCTGGAACAAGTATACTTTCCACTGTATCATGCTACTCACTTAGTTTAAAAGTAGTTTTTAGTAAAATTATGTGTGTATATATATATATATATATATAAATGTATATATTTTAATGCCATGAATGACGAAGTTCCAGAAGGCAGTCCACAAAAGATTGGGATAGCAGGAAAGACAGTGAAAGTTTCCAACTCCTCAAGCCTATAATTGGTTTGTGTAAAGAGAAGAAATCAAAGTCTACTTTTCTCCAGGGGTCTCTCGTCACTTATCACCCATAGCAGACCCCAGGCAGTTGTCAATGCAGTTTTCCAAGGTCTACCAGGTAATCTGAGACATTTAGGGCAGAGTCAAATGTATTTGGCCTAGCAAGTCTCTGACTACTAGAAACTGTTTCTCCTGTGTCCCTATTCTCTGGTCTTGCTGACCTAGACTTGGCTACTGTAGGCTGGGTGTAAATAATTCACAATGTTTAACCTAGTGCCTTGACACTGGGGTCATCAGTTACCCAGCCAGCCTCCCTTTCTGCTGAGTCTCTAAACTATCACTTCCTTATTTCTCATGAACCCCAAGTGTAGATGTGGGTCAGTGATAGTAGCTGGAGAGAAAGGGATAGAAAAGGAAATACATTTGAAACAAGAGCCCAATGGGTACCTATAACAACATGCTAACTTTAAAGCTACTGGGGATACAGAATACACGCATTTCTAGAGGGGCAGTTAGGTGGTACAGTGGATGGAATACTGGCCTTGAAGTCAGGAGGACCTGGGTTCAAATCCAGCCTCAGACACTTCCTGGCTGTGTGACCCTGGGCAAGTCACTTCACCCTGTTTGCCTCAGTTTCCTCATCTGTGAAACGAGCTGGAGAAAGAAAGGGCAGATCATTCTAGTATCTTTACCAAGAAAAACCCCAAATGGAGTCATGAAGAGTTGGACAGGACCAAATAACAAGGCTCAGCAGGAGAGCTAGCAGGAAATGATTGGTATAAAAACAAGAGGCAACAATAAGATTTGAAAACAGAAAGATAGGGTTCAATTACTCTGAGGTCCCTTCTATCTCCAATCTATGACCTAGGATCAATCAACA